ACCTGGAAATCTCGATACACTTCCCTGAAAATTTGTTAGAAATCTACTGAGAATATGTCCTATATTCAGATTACAGTTAAAAAGAGAAAAAAACATACTATCATGACTAGTTTGAATAATCTTGATTGGACTGAACCTCACATCACCAGAACACAACTGTAGCCGAGACTCCAAGAGGCCTTTTCCTCCACTTTGACCAATCTGGGCCAAGCCAAATTCTTACCTGAATTAGAAAGCAAAATCTTAAGCATGGTGGACTCTCCTTACACATTGTCTGTACAATTAATGTCCGCCCAAATCCATCCCAATGATTACTAAAAGCAGAACTCTTAAAATCATATAAGGTAGAATGATGCATAATATTCATTATAGAAATCAATGAGTATAATGCTAATTCTATCATATCCATGGTATGTGCTTCAATCACAATGGGAACTAACTGCTAAGGAAGCAAGGAGGAGGGAGTAGGGGTTCTCCCAGGGAGAACGGAGCCAGAGCGGGGGTGCTATCCAGGGAGAGGATGTGGTGTGGACCCCATGCTAGAGGCTGAGCAGGGGCTCTCCAATTGCAAGAAAGGGTGTGTGGCTCAGGAGGCCATTCAGAAGACCTACACATAGCCCATGTTTCTGTATTGGCAAGTTGTATAGAATGTGATATTTTCAAAACCCCAGCTGCTGGGGTTAGACGTGTAGGACTGCGCTGACCTGGAAAAGACCCTGAATGCTTTGGCCTTAGGAGGGTGATGATGCATGCACCTGCCCATGTGAGCCCCGGTGACCTACCAGGAAAGCAGAAGCCGTGTGTTACATGCTCTGGGGGGGGTACCCATATGTGGAGATGTTATCATGTCCTTGCTGTCTTGTCATCTGATGCCCAAATGCCTTAATACTGAGTGCCCAGGAAGTCGCTTAGCTGCACTGTGTCCTTCCTAGCACTTCGGACATGTAGTTTGTTAGAGAAATGGGCATTCTTCATAAGGGCTACTGTGGGAGGGAAGAATGACACCCCGGGTTGTGAGGTGGGCTTGCAGTGGCATTTTCCTCATCAGAGATTTCAAATATGGTGCAACATTGAGGAGGTGTGAAAGCAATAAAGAGGAAGAAACCTCAGGCTAGAGCCCCCCAAGCTAGGTGTCTAGTTCACCTTATTGTAATTTTGTTTGAGGCCCTTTCTGCTCGGACAGATTTTTAACAACAAAAGCTGGTATGTGTAAGACAAGCCCATCTTGGGTTCACTTGTCCAGCTTCTCCCTCACAATGCCCATGATGTGCCCTGCACTCTCTCATAAGACACAGAGAGGAACAGACGCAAAGCCTGGCTCTTACATCCTAGTGAGGAAGAGAGACAAAAACAAGATGCGTTAGTAAACCTCGACCGTGTTTGGAAATGATAAGTGTTAAGTACAAATGAATGAGGAGACAGGAGAAAACTGTCAAGTGGGGAAGAGAGCCATGCAGTTTCTAATAGGTTGTCCCAAAAAAACATTACTTAGAAACTGACTTTGAGCCAATATTGAGGCCAGGGAGCTAGTCATATGAAAACCTGGAAGTGACCATTTCCAAAAGAGGCCAAAGCACACACAAAGCGCCCACACCCAGCTGTGTTACATACATGTCTGATGTATTGTGCAAAAGCAAGGAATCCAGACTACAAGGAAGAGAGGGGTTGGAAATGAGGCCAAGGAGGAGGTAGATTATATAGGGATCCATATAGGTCATTGAAGGAACTTGAACTTGTACCCAAGTGAGGTAGGACCTCTTGGGAAAGTATACAATCTAAACTGCAGTGGCCTCATCTGATTTAATTTTTAATATCCCCATTTTGGCCACTGTGTTAAGAAAGAAATAAACTGTGGGAAGAGGGGCAAGTGTATAAGCAAATGAATCAGCAAGGAGGCCATTAAAGAGAATCTAGGCAGACATGGCAGTGCTTGAAAGTGTTAACCCCAAGCTAGTGAGAAGAGGCCAGACTTGCACATTCTAGAGGTTTGGTAGAAAGGATGGTGGACTGATTAAATGTGAAGAAGAAGAATGTTAGAGATGATGGCATGTTTTTGATTGTCTTTTACTGATAAGGAAGGGAATTAGGTGTGGGTAATATTAATCTCATGCAAGTTTCATAGTAAGTGAGAGAAGCATAGCAGATATCCAAGTAGGCAGCAGGGTATACAAAGCTGGGCTTGGGGAGAGAAATGAATATCCCAAGAGTCACTGCATGGACATTTAAGCTCTGAAATGAGTTAAAGGAGTACAAGTAGAAAATAAAAGGAGTACAGGTAGAAAATAAAACATGTTCAAGGATTAAGCCCTGGGCATTTTGATGCTTAGAGGTTAGGGAATGAGAAATCCCAGCAATGTAGGATAAGAAGAGAGGGTAGCAACTTGGAAGCCAGATGAAGAGATGTTAGAAGGAGAAGGGAACTATCACCTATGTCAGGTGCTTCCCAAAGGCCAATAATTCAAGACCAAGACTTGACCAGTGCATTTAGCACTATGGAGGTTATAGATGATCTTGATAAGAGTAATGAGGGTGGGATGATGAACAGATTGGAGTAGATTAAGGAGTAACTGAGAAAATTGATGATATCATGAATAAACTTTTCAAAGGAGTTTTGTTTTAAGGGAATGACAAGATGGAGTGAGTGGTAGCTGGAGGGGAAAAGAAGATCAAAATAAGAGGTGAAGATGACAAATAATAGCCCGTTAAATGCTCACAGGAATAACACAATAGAGGAAATATGTTGATACAGTAAAGAGAAGACAAAATTGTCACTGTGATGTCTTTCACAGGTTGCTCTTAACTAAGAACACTGAACAGGAATAAAGATGACGTTCAGGGCTGATGACAGAGGATGAGTAGTTGCAGTTAAGGGCGTGTGAAAGGTTCTACCTGCTACTCACTGTGAGGGCCACTGGGGAAGCCTGTTTTACCTTCGAGCACAGGTGAAGGGGCTGTTCCTTGCAGGGGCTGAGGATCTAAGGTATTTTGCTGCTGATTGACCATGAGCCCATGAGGCACCTTGGAAAGAGTTCAGGAGAAGGGACGATAGCCCCAGGAATCAGAATCTGGATGGCACAGGAAGCCTTGGCTTCTGGTGGGGCTTTTCTGTGCAGTGCTGTCCTGAGAGAGCTGCCCCACCTGTGATGTGCATCTGTCTGCCCCAGGTCACCAGTGTGGTTTCCTTAACTTTCTGGGCCTTCCTGGCAGCAGCCCCGTGCCCCTTCCAGGTCTTTCTCAGGCACCTAGTGAGCATCCCACTAAGGCTGGGCACTGTCGTGTGCTGGCCCCAAAGCAGCTGGCCTCTGGATTGCACTAGCCTTGCTCAGTGTGCCTCCACAGGGTCTGATGAGGGGCACTGGACAGGATCCCTCAGCTTTTGCCTTGAAAACTGACTGCAGCTGCAGAGCCCTTGCACTGCTGGTCATTTAATGATTTTCTGTAAATATGCTCCTTTTTTGTTACGGAAATATTTTTAAAGGAAGCTCCTAAGAAAACTGTCACAATTAAAAAGTTAATGAAAGAAATGAATATGGAATGAGAAGGATGAAAATAAAAAGTGTGCATCCTTATATAACTTCAAAGTAGCTCACTTGCAGCTTTGGGAATTGAGTGATCCACAAGATGCCCCCCATGAAGCTGCCAGCCAAGGGTTTTCCCACTGTTGCTGTTCTTTCCCTACAAGCCAGAGGATCAGGCTGAACTATTGTGTTTACCTGAGCGTTTCTCCAGTTGCAGGTTAAGATTTCCCATAGAGCAGCATAGCCCATGAAAAGGCGGTGGGGTAGGAGGATGTGTGCTTAGGGCGTGCAGAAGAATGGAGACATCCGAGGGACTGGGCCCCAAGGTGAGGCTCCTGCAAGCAGTGAGGGCCAGGTTAAAAATGGGTGGCCTTTTCCCAGGATCAAAGTGAAGCTTCTAGAGGTCCTCCAGGAGTAGGGTGGAATGATCAGATGTAAGCATTAAAAAAGCCCCCTGACAGTTGTACAGAAAAAAGATTGGGGGAAAGGATAGATGCAGACTTGGATAACTGAGTGAGTTCTGAAAAATCCATGTAAGACCTAATGGCCTAGAATAAGAGGATGGGGAAGGCAAGGATGGAGGGTGGAGCTCCTGGGGAGCAAAAGGAGCCAGACCCATGGCTACTTGGACTGCATATGCTAAGAGAAGGGAGCTGAGGGATGGCTTTGGCATCGCTGGCCTGTGTGGCCTGGTTGGTGGTGGTGAAAATACCGTGGGCTGTTAGATGGGAGAATGCATCAAGTACCATGGTTTTACACAAATTCAATGGGAAGTTCGGAGTGACATCCAAACAATCCTGTTTCCAAGTTGGGTCCGCAGATCAGGGGCTCAGAAGAAAGGAGGGAATTGGAGCCAGGAGCTCCTGAGCCAGGAGCCTGTGCTTCGGTGCAGTTGTGTAGGCTGCTATGTCTCCATCCTCGCTGTCTCACTGTGATCAGCTGATGGCTATGGAGCTTTTGGCCCCCTGGATTATACTGTCTGCATATTATACTAATATTCATGGAGTGCGGTATGATTGTTTCCCACTTTCTCTTCTCTTTATCCTCCCTCTTCCCCCTCTTCCTTTTTTCTCTGATTCCCCCTACTTATTTTTTCCTCTCCTGTCCACTCCGGTGGCCTCTGCTGACCTACACGCCACACCCCGTGTGGGCACACCACCCTACCGGAAAGGCCATCCTGCGGGATTTCCTTTCTGCAGTCCGGATGGAGAGTTTAGGGACACTTTTTATCTCTGTTTCAGAGGTGACCATCTGCCTCTCACTTTACAAGGGCACATACTGCTTTTGAGAAGATTTGGGAGCCAACAGTACACATTTCATAGAGTACAGTTACTGTAAGCCATATTTATGTAGCTAATTGTTTTCAATTCTGCAGAGATTTTACATGCAAATCACTTTCAATTTAATTTTTTAAATTGTATTTTAAAATTTTCGTTACTTTTTCCTCTAATGTTGATTCATTTTTGCTTTCCTGGTTAATAGATTACTGTCCTAGATGAGACGTGGACTGTATTCAGGCGTTACAGTCGTTTTCGAGAAATGCATAAAACATTGAAGTTAAAGTATGCAGAGGTAAGTTATGAAATCATTATCTCTAATTAAGAGCATTCATTTTATAAGGTAAATGAGCAGATTGCATTAGCAGTGTCCTCTCTCCCCCTTTCTCAGTATTAGCTTGTATCAGCTTTTTAATTCATTTATTATCAAAGATAACACTTTAATTTTTTCCTTTATTTCATTTCTCTTCTAGAGAATTTAAAGCTTTTGTCAACTCAAGATTTTGGAAATAATAGTAAATAATCTTCATTTATTTCATAAATTTTATGATGAATTTTACATAAATATTTTATCAATTTACAACTTTTCCACTCTAAGACCTATTAAAGTGAAATAGTGAAAGATTCCTTAGTATGGCTCTTCTTTTTTTCTCTTAGAAGACACATTTATGTTTAGACACTGCTTAATGAGAACTCAAGTCGTAAGTTTGCCAGCAGCCATGGAAGGGGGATAGAGGGCAACAGGGAACTGTCTAGCAGGACGACCTATTTCATAGTCAAGGTCTATTGCTGGGTTAGTCATCTTTTCCTTTTTGGACAAACACTGGCTTTTAGAATGACTTTCAGGAAGGAAAAGGGCTCCTAGAGTGGATGGATACTGTCCAAGTGCTGATGGTGGTGATTTCACTTCAGCTGAAGGATACTGTGGGTCAGTCTAGCACTTTGAGAACTGTGGTTTGAATGGACTGCAAATCGTTCAGCTGTCACTGTCCACTTTCACTAAGTACTACTTTTCAGCATGATATTTATACTTCCTTTTGACATCCTAAAAAATAATTTAGTCAGAATTTTGTCCTTAATTGATTAGCACTAAACAAACGAATGTTTTATTGACATCACTGTGGCGTCTGCCCTTTCTAATCTGTGTACAGTAAAAAGAGAAATACATTTTTATAAATAGAATGGCTCTTTGACATGTAGAAGAACCTTGTGTCCAGACAGAATTAAGCTGGCTCTGAAATTCCATCATTCAGCTTTCATACTAGTACTCGGAAAATTGAAGAAGCTCCAGGTATGTTATAGTCAGTGTTCCAGGGAGACATGAGTTCCAGAAAGTACGACATCAAATTTGAGTTAAGTTTGTTTCTGTAGTTTACCCTCCATGTCCTAAATACAGACAATAAAAAGTGGACGTAGTATATACAAATTAAATGCACAGAACAGCTTATTTTCAAAGTGAGCTTTGAAGCTCATTAGCCACTTTGTTATAAGTTAGTACATCAGTTCTTTAATAATGTATAGATTTTGCATATTGTATTAACATCCCTGAATTCCCAGCATAATAGATGGAAAAGCAATTTATTTGAAAAATAGGCTGCAAGCTTTATACATACATACACATATAATTTAGTCCTTGATTACAAGTTCTTCTTATCTGTTCCTGTATTAGTTTAACTCATTCCATCTAGGTATGTTTTTTATTTTAGATTCCAGTAAGATAGTAGAGAGAATAAAAGTTTCTTATGTATGTCTTAACTGCATATGTAGCAAAAGACTAATTGTAAAGAAGCATTATAACATATGTTAAGAGTAAGCATGCCATTTTAAGTATGTTGCATGCCTTTGGTGGAAAACTATCAAGAAAGACTAATGAGATAGATAGCTCTCTGACAAGAGAGCATTCTGGTTAAACATGAGCTAAGAAATACATAGAAGGGTTTAGGAAGAAGCACTACAACATCAGTATTTTTAAAGAAAACTTCGAACAAATACAACGGAAGCAGTCTTTTATGTTAGAAGAAAACTTACCTCCAGTTGCCAAGACTGGTGGCTCCCAAGTGCTGTGCTGTATCCCAGCACATGGGAGGCTGAGGCAGAAAGATCACCATGAGTCTGAAACCAACCTGGGTTACATAGTTCAAGGGCAACCTGAACTACCTAGTGAGACTTGCCCCCCCCAAAAAAAAACCTTACCTGCAATTAATACTTATTTGAACTTGTAAATCAGAGTGGTTGCCTGGTAATGGGAAAAATTAATAAACAAAGGTTATGAGATATGTAAAAATCTTATCAAGGATTAAAAGTGTTGATTGTGAGCATGTTTTAGAAAATTAAGTGATCTCCAAGTGAAAATGATCAAGCCGAATTCATTTTTCCCTTTGCAAATGTGTATTGAGCAATGCTGCACGATTAGTACAGCTGTGAACAAGACAACTGCATTCTGTTCTCTCCTGAGGTACAAAGAGTCAACAATAAAAATAAGGCAGCGTGAGATAATGTGAAGTGCCCTAGAGCGAACCACGCAGGGCACTGATTGTGTGGCGTAAGAGCTGGGTGCCGGGCTGCTTTCAGTGGTGCAGGCTGGCTAGGCCCTTCTAAGGGAGGAGGTTTGAGCTTGGACCTGATTGCTGAGCTAGAGCAGGACATGAAAATGAGAGGTGCACACTGAGGTAACTGCAAATGCTGAGGCCCAGCGTGGGACCAAGTGTGTTGTGTTCCGAGAGCAAAACTTGGAAGAGCAGTAGGAAGGAGGGCAGAGGGCTGGGCTGGGTGTGGACCCTGAACTGTATTCATAGTGTATGGGGAGCCACCGGACAGTGTTAAGGTGACCAAGCGATCTACTCTACCCTTTTAAAGGGCCATTTTAATGGCTCTATCGAGAATGGATTGTTGGGGTGGTAGAGAGCTCTGTCATAACTCAGGTTTTTAAGATAAAAGTAATTATTAGTCACAAAGTTGCAGCCAGTGTAGAATCCAGAGTACTCGGACATTAAATTTTTAAATGCTCCTAAACAGCCCATTGGAAATATCAAGAAAAATGAAGGCTATAAGCCTACAGTTTACAGGCAAGGGATATTATGAACCTTCTCTTAGAAAGAAAAATCATTGTTTAGATCAACGGTAAGTGAGAAAATTCCTTTTATTCCTGCTTCAATTTGTAGTTGAGCTTCAGTGTCCAGACCATTATATTTATGATTTCTGCCCACAGGGGCCCCTTTCCTGAAGACAGACTCAAGATTGAAGTGGTAACTGAGAGGGGACATTCCCTTTCCATGTTGGCTGCAACTTTGTGACTAATAATTACTTTTATCTTAAAAACCTGAGTTATGACAGAAAACCCTAAGACCCATGGGCACCTGCGTGTCAAAGAGATAATGTGAGCAGTGATTTATAGCTACATGGAAGCCTCCTAAAATAATCCCTGCATGTCAGAAGGGAAACTGTGCTGGTCACAAACCCCAAGGAGGCTGGGCTGATGCCAGGTATCCTTCAGTTACTGCGCTCTGACATTTCCCCCCGATGAGCTGAGCACATGCCATGGGCCTGGTGCTATCCTCTGCATCTCCTGGGGTCTCCTGCAGATGGTGCTGTGAGCACAGGCACGGTTACCAGCTGTGTAGCGGGGCCAAGAACAGCTTGTCTTGGGTCACACAAGGGATGAAGAAAAGCCAGTGTAGAAAACCAGGCAGTTTCACTCCATGCCGTATTTCTACAGCATTAATAGTACCGACTTTGGATTTTTAAAAAGTCTCTAAAGACAAAGCCACATGTCATCTAAATGTAGGTGAATCTTATTTCAGTCCAAGAATAACCTTATTCATTTAACATTTTTTGAGAAGAAGCAAATATCAAGTTGAATACCAGCTGTGTACTTCTCCGTAAACTTGGATTTTCTCTTGTGCAGCTCAGCTTCAGAGCTGAGAAGTGTATGTTGGGACTCGAGATCGACATGTTTATTAGGTGTTTGTCAAGTATTATTGCTGTCTTTAGTGCCCATATTCCTATCGTCTCTGTCTATAATGTTAGTCTTGAAGTAATCGTCTCCCTGCAAATGGTCTATTTGGCCTGAACACATCCTAGAAATCACTTGACTTGTTAAAGAGATAACTTCTTCAGGAAAGCCCGCAGACTGATACGGAAGGGTGATGGGAACTTCCTCTCATGGCCGCCTGTTTCTAAGCCAAGTGGGAGCCTCTTTTATTTCCCAGCCTCCTTTGCCAGATTGAGCTTATTGTTTCTGTGGAAGTAGAAAACTAATTCTCATCATTGCAAGGGTAACAGAATGCTTGATGATAAGTTTTAAACTGTGTGTATTAAATTTATCTAGTTTTACAAACCTCCAAATTTTACATCAGTTTGAAAAACAGAAGAGCACAGTGGAACTCAGAATATTGAGAATCTGTAATGTGCTTGCCAACGTAGAGAAACTTTTATCACCTTAAAACTTCGCATTTAGTCATAGCCTGTAATGTTTTGGAACTTTGTCTGAAATTATATCTTGTTCCTTCACATTTCCACTTGGAGTCTAGCCACGTTCTCCAGGGGGATATACTCCAAAGTAGTTTGATGTGACAGTTTCCTTTGAGAGATTTTTTTCTTTCAGTACTCTTTTTTCCCAAAGAATAGATTATATGTTCATGATAAAAGTTTGACATTAAAAGTGTGTGTGTAGAGAGAGAGACGGAAAGTTTGTCTTACTCTAGCCCTCAGAGATATCCATTGCAATGCCTACCAGGAGGTCTTCTTCAGTCTAACTGTACATGCAGACACATGGCTCCCACAGGCCATATTCATCATTGGGGTCCGTGGAAAGGATGTACAACAGGAACCACTGCTGGCTGGCAGGACAGAGGCTTGGCGAGCCCTCCCCCTCCAATCTTCTGCAGCAGTCCAAACAGCTGTCCTGAAGCTGGTCCTTTGTCTCACGTCTCCCAGGTCATAGCTTGGGTGCATAGAGATGAGACCCACACAGGCCAGTTCAAGAACTCCATGCTGCAGGGAGACAGGATCTCTTGTACCAGCTCTGTAGGTAGAACTGCCATAGTCCCAAGCAGAGGGAGGCATGCAGAGCTACCTGTCATCTCACCTGGAGAAGCCTGATGTAAAACTCAGCAAATAGCTGTCCTGAAGCACTTTATCAACAGGGTGTGGGCGTGTGTGTGGCCTTTTACTTTACCATGACTGGTGCTGGCTCATAACAAGAATGGCATACCCCCTTTCCAGGGTCCAGGATCCTGCTGATGCACATTTGGGTACTTGCCCAAAGTTCTGTGACTGCTTTTCTGAACATTCTTG